CTAAAAATGTTTTTTTTATTGGTCTTATGAAGTATTCTAATTTGTTGAGATAGTGAATTGGTGGGTTTTTGTTAAATGTGAGCCAAAATCATCACAATTAAAAGAACCAAAGACTTAAACTACTTCAGTCTGTGTGCATTGAATTTATTTAATACACGAGTTTCACAATTTGAGTTGAATTACTGAAATAAATGAACTTTTCCATGACATTCTAATTTATTGAGATGCACCTGTATATTATAGCTGAAGTCTGACGCTGTACTGAGTACCATCAGGAAGATAGCAGCAGTTCTGAGCCACTTCTGCCAAGCTGCATCAACGATAGAGGACAACAACATTTAGTGACAAAACTGGCCATCTATCAGCTCTTAATAATATAATTTAATCTACAATTCTCATGGACGTTTTTCACTGTCCCTTTAAAAAAAAAAGCTACACTTCAAAAAGTTCTACATAAACGCATCCTGGTACAAAAAGCAACACAATTCAAATAGTATAATCAAAATAAGGGTAGAGTGTAAATATATATTCATATTTATACATTTCTAGATGTATTTACAAGAAAGGCTGTCAGTCAGATAAACTGTGTGCCCGTTGTTAAAATACATTCGGGCAGAGCATTTAGTGGAATACATTTTCTTACGAATTTGGTCAAAAGAAAGGTCTTTGTTATTATATAAACACTCCCAGCATCCATCAAGCTGTTCCTCATTCGATGACGGTAATGTCTTCAAGGCTTGCTCTACTACAGATGGCAGGAGGATATTTCATATTGACGAGTCTTGAGAAACACACGTGTACCATTTCTGCTCAAGTGCCCTGTAGCTTTATAGCAACAACAGGTAATGGGGTCAGTGAAGGCCCAGTTTGTCCTCTTCCAGCTGTGTGAATCTAGCGTCTCATTATGTGAAGTCCATGCCGAGCTCTTCAGCTCTTGGCCGCTCTGTAGTGTGCTATGTGGCAAAGCATTGTCTCCTAGAGTTCATGGGTCTAGCCGGGTAGCACACTGGAGAGGAACTGAATGTGAGTGAACTCAGCGCTTTTTAAATGCCACTCCGCGGTTGGGATGAGGGGGGAATTTGGGCAGGCAGGGCTCATCAGCACCGGGGTCATGGGAGAACACAGAGTCTTCACCGGAAGAGCACGTAGAACTGCGTGTGTCGGGGAAATTTGGAGAAAACTGGTCCAGAGACACAGACAGGTCCAGATACTCCTGAAAATGTAAAATACACAGAAAATGTATTATTGTTGTTAATACAACAACAAATTATTATTATTATCATTATTACAGTAGTCAACATTTGAAGTGGATCAAAACCTTTCATCAAAGTTGTCCTAAAACCTAAAACGCGTTCTTGTATTAGGACAATTTTAATTAACTTTTTGATCCACTTCAAATGTTGACTACTGTATTTTGCTGTTGTTGAGAAATGTATTATTATTGAATAATTATAATAGTTATTATTATTTGTTAATTTATTTGTATTATTATTGTTAATGATGATGATTATTATTATTAGTAGTAGTTATTTAATAATAATAATAATAATAATAATAATAATAATAATAACTACTCATTAACAACAAATTTTGTTATTGTGTTATTATTTCATCATTTATTATCATTCACTTATTAAGTATTGAACTACTACAATAATAATACTAATTATTTCTACTACTACTACTGAAGAACAACAAATTATTTATTAATACTAATTGTTATTAGATTGTCATTAAGTTAATATTATTTGATCATTTATCATTATTGACTTATTAATCCCTGAACAACTACAATAATAATGATGTTGTTGATGATGATGATGATGATGATGATAATAATAATAATAATAATACTTATTATTGGATTGGATTATTTTAATTTTAATTTATTTAATTTATTATTTTTTTAATGTATTATCCTTGATGATGATAATTGATGATCAAACTATTATTATTATTACTATTATTATTATTAATAACTAATTATTAATTACTGGATAATAATAGTAATAATAATAACAATTATTATTATTGGATTATTTTAATTTTAATTTATTTAATTTATTATTTTAAATTTATTATCCTTGATGATGATAATTGATGATCAAACTATTATTATTATTATTATTACTACTATTATTATTATTAATAACTAATGATTAATTACTGGATAATAATAATAATAACTACTGAATAATAACAACACTGAATAATAAAAATGTATCATAATTATTTAATATTTCTATGCTGTTATGCAGTGTCACAATTAAAATTATTTAGATAAAATAACAGCTTTTTTGAAGCACAGTTACAATGCCATGTAAAGCATTGAAAGCTGATTTGTGGATTATCAAACGGTTCTGGCTCACCTGATTGGACGTCATAGAGAGGGTGCGGTCTAGATCCTCCACCAGATGTTTGAACGTGGGTCTCTGAGATGGGACGGCATGCCAGCAATCTCTCATCATCATATACCTGCAAAAGGAACACAGGTTTAACAACTGTAATAAGAAACCTCTGGCATCATGACTGAAGATACAGCATTAAAACAATCTTACAGTTCGTGGGTACACGTGGAGGGGCGGTCCATGCGGTGGCCCTCCTTTAGCAGTTTAAAGAGCTCCTCGACAGGGACACCTGGATACGGTGAGCCGCCAAGAGTAAAGATCTCCCACAGCAACACCCCAAAAGACCACCTAACATGCAAAGAATGACCATTATTAACAGACAACTGCATTTTGTATGTGAGTGAGTTTGAGAGAATATACTGAGACGTACACGTCACACTGATGGGTGTAAATGCGGTCGAACAGAGCTTCAGGCGCCATCCATTTCACTGGTAAACGACCCTGTGGAAGACACAAGCACTTCATTCACTTACTCATCACCTGTTTGGGATTAAAGAACTGATATATCTGCTTGTGACAAATGCTGCCTTCAAATCCTGCTGGGAGGAAACTGTAATTATTAGTGGTGTTTGCGAATAGTGTTGTCAAAAGTACAGATGTCGGTACCAGTCCATACTCAAAATGTAAAAATGTGACTATACCAGCATTTCTCGCTAGCATTTTGAGCACTGTTGTGTGATTCTCAAACACCTCTAATTGGCCATTGTGTTCACACGCTCAACAGAAATGTCTGTGATAGACTACGTCTATGAGCAGATATATTAGGGATCCACTGACAGATGCGGCTTTCAAACGCTCCCGTGTGTATCTGTGTAAGCGCTCGGTGAAGAGCATGAAGCGATGATCATTGTAGCCAATCACAGACAGATCTGTTGAGTGTGTGAACACAATGGCCAATCAGAGCGGTTTAAGAATCCGCTCAACACATCTGCACAGCGGACAAAAAAATCTGGCGAAAAATCCCATAGACTTCTATCCCATAGAAAACACAACATTTTGACCAAATTTGACAGGGTCTTAGCGTTGACCAAGAATTTCGTAGAAACATGTGGATCACCACTTTTGAAGAGGCCGGCAAGCTGTGCTAGAACATACCTCACAATGGGGTATAGGTTGTACCCCTGGGGCGCAAGAGCCCTCCAAAGTTGCCCCATAGACATACTATGGTGAAGGAACTGAGCACATGTTTTTCCTACTATCGTAACTTGCATTGGAATTTTGCATCAAACATAACTCTGGATCACAATGTCATAGAGACATGGGGGTGGGCTCATTTTACGCCACGGTAAGCTCCACTCACATTTTCTTTAGAAAATGTACATATCTAGTTATCAAAGTCAGTGTTAACTCAAAGTTGGTGTTCAAAGAAAATCCCACCGGTAATTATGACAAGAATCATCTCATAAAATACGATAATTCAGACAAGCAACATAAAATAAATCGCTTAGACAGGTTCATAGTAGGCCTGGGTGATAAAACGGTATCGATATTTATCGACGGTACACCTTCTTCGATATCGATATAAAATTTTTTCGATATAGCGCACGATATAGGCACATGCTATGAGTGACGCAGACAGCACACACAAACGCGAACACATGCTGAAATGAGTGCTGTGCCTGCCTGTGATGAGGAGATTGTGAATAAAGAATGAATATTAGTCGAATTTAAAATAAACATTTGCATTTGAATGTTAGGAGTGCGTCAGGGAGCGTCATCAGTGGCGCGCGAGATGCAGTGATGATGATGTAAGTGACATTGTTGCATTTTAATGTTTTGTTAGTCTAGCCCACGAGATGCGCCGCTGCTGCGTTATTCATTCAAAATATTAGAGAAATATAGAAGCTCAATGCGGAGAAGAGAATGGGTTAAAACCGAAACCAAGCCATTCACACAGAACGCATATTCAGCGCATTTTTTAGACGGACAAATATGACTGCTGCACTCGCGTCTCACAGAAGAAATGTATAGAAAGCCATGCAAAGTTAAAACAGTTTCAACTTTTAGAAAACACGTCACGAATTTGTGGAGGTTTATTCCTTTTCACTGCGTCTCATATGTTTTTAAATGCAGTCTGTGTGAATGGTGCTTCGGCTCTTTGTATTAAGCAATGCATAAATACATTATGCTGCTTTGTTAATAATTGTTTATGCAATTTACGAAATTATATTTGATTGTTATGAGTTAATTTAGACGTAATGCACGCTTTTATAGAGTAACTTCCTTGCGTTGACTATTTAAATGCGCTGCATTATTTTGCTCATTGCGCAATATTTGTTGTCTGTCTCAATAAATTGTGTTAATTATAAATACAGTGGTTAAAAAAAAAATTCTATTGCTTTTTGTTTTAAAAAAGGTTATAAAAAATGTCAATAATTATCGATACCGAACGATATGAAACATTATATCGTTGATAAATTGTTTACCTATATTGCCCAGCCCTAGTTCATAGTACTTTAAACAGCAATCAAAGACCAAATGAACATTATTTTATATTTAATAAAGTGACTTTTCTTATGTCTCAGTCCAAAATCTTACATTGGTGGTCTTCTTGTAGTAATCAATATGATGGATGTCTCTGGCCAGGCCGAAGTCTGCTATCTTCATAACGTTATCTTCAGTTACCAGGACATTACGGGCAGCCAAGTCTCTATGAATACACTACAACAGAGAAAACACGCATGCATATTAATCAAACAAATAATTAATCAAAGTCATATGTTAATTTGACTGATATGAGAACAGAAGCATTTGAGACTCCCACCTTCTTGGATGCGAGGTATTCCATGCCACGTGCCACCTGGTAAGCGCAGGACACCAGGTCTTTGATTGACATGTTCTCCACAGGCACCTGGTCAGGGTTGTAGCAGTACTCCATCCCAAGCGGACGACGCACACGCAGATACTCCCTCAGATTGCCCTTTGAAGCAAACTCCACAATGACGTAGAGAGGACCTGACAATGGACATATGAAAACATTTCAGTCACATAATTCTTGCTGGAATATAACACTGATCAAAATTAGTGGTTGAACGACATGAGTTTTACAATGGCTAATACTAATGAAGGTGTCTAGAGAGCAGGTTAGTGAAAAGCTATTATAATGCCAGTATTTCTATATATCATACAATATAATGACAGCAAATGTGATTTAAATAAACATGTATCTTACAACTTTTTTTTTTTTTTTTAACAACATTCATTTTACAAAGATTGGGGTTGGTAAGATTTTTTTTAAAGTAAAGTCTCTTATGCTCATTAAGGCTGCTTTTATTTAAAATGCAGAAAAAAACAGTAATATTGTGAAATATTACCACAATTTAAAATAATGGTTTTCAATTTAATATATTGTAAAATGTAATTTATTCCTGTGATGCAAAGCTGAATTTTCAGCAACATTACTCCAGTCTTCAGTGTTACATGATCCTTCAGAAATCATTCAATATGATAATTTGATGCTCAAGAAACATTTCTTATTATTATCAATGTTGAAAACAGTTGTGTGGCAATGTGACATATGTTTCAGGATTCTTTGAATAAAAGGCTCAAAAGAACATTATTTATGTGTAATAGAAATCTTTATAAAATAGCCAATAAAAACCTTTACTGTCACGTTTGATTAATTTAATGCAGCCTTGCTGAATAAAAACATTTTTTTTTTCTTCCATAAATAAAAAATTAAAAGATCTTATTGAACCAAAATTTTTGGACAGTGTTTTTATCGCTAACTAAACTTATTAGAAACCTTTTTCATTATAAAGCTGTAAATAAAGCCAAAATAAATAAAATATAAAAACTTTAAAAAAATGTTACAAGAAATGTTGACTTAGTAACTTACTGAAATCAAATCATTTTAAGTACTAAATTGACTAAAACTGAATAAAAAATGAAATCTAAATCTAAATATATAAAAACTAATAAAAATAAAAACATGACAAAAATACTCAAATTAAACTGAAAACCCAAAATATTAAAAAAGCCATTTCAAAATATTAACAAATAATATAATAGTAAATAAATAATAATAAAAAAAAAAAAACTATCAGTAGTGTACTTAATTCACAAAAAAATTTAAACAAATTAATGTTTTATTTTATACTGGAGGTAGCCTTGAAGAGGCCACTGTTTGTAAACTAGGATTTACACTAAGGAAGCTGGGTTTAATTTATCTAGCATGTACAATCACAATAGTTGGACTGATGACAACATCCTGTCCTTTTAAAGTAAAAAAGCTGTATTGCATTATCCCTAAACGTCTCCCTTGCCCACCCAACTCTCTCCCTCCTCCTTGATTCATCCTTACTCACCATCTTGTGTGCAGGCCCCCAGTAAGTTGATGATGTTCTTGTGTTTGCCAATAATCTTCATCATTTCCATCTCGGAGATGAGGTCTGACAGGTCCTTGAGAGCTCGATTAACATGCTTCAGGGTCAAGGTGAAATACAGGCGAAAGCTCAGCAGACCATCAGATTCCTCATGAGACACTCAATTCCAGACAGAGTTTGCTGGCGTATTTCCATTTTTACACCACACACACACAACTGTCGGCTAACAACGGCGGCAGAAAACACTTACATTTGAGCATCTTGACAGCCACTTTGGTGATACGACTGGGTTTGTCTTTATCCATCCCGATAGCCTCGGCCATCATCACCTGCCCAAAGCAGCCCTCGCCAAGCGGCTTCCCGAGAACCAGCCTGACACACAAACACACACAATATTAATCACTGTGTTGAATAACCAACATTTCTCCAGGCCATACTTCAGATGGACAACAAATGATGAGTACAGTGTGTGTATGTATGTGTTACCTGTCTCTGGCCACCTCCCAGCGTGGGTCCTGGGGCAGTTCATATTCGGAGACCCCTGACAGCATAGGGGAGCCACTGGAGGACAGACGCGAGGGCCGGACCAGCATCCTACCCGAGTGCATAGATGAGCTGGAGTCCACAGACACCTGTACGAAAACACTTACAATTACTCTCCATACAACACAGCAAGAGAAATACACATATGAAGACTTGTGTGTATGTGAGTTACTTGCTCAAGAAGCACCTACAGACGCTGATGCAGATAACAAAACCCAAAATTCAATAATCAGCTCAACAAGAAATTAAAAGTTTGCCATTTGTGACCGACATAAAACCTTGAGGGAAAACGATTTCCTCATGCAGGTTTCGCAACGCATTCAAGTTCGTCACATGGATTTTAGAGTTGCTAGGTTTGAAAGTGATTTATACATCGCTGTGGGGAAATCCAATAATTTCAGTAGGAATCTACATGATCTGGAATTTCATGTGACAATTTTCCCATGCAGGTTTCATATTAGAATGCAGTCAAATGTTGGTGAAAGAGATGAGTTTTCAGCTGTCACTTCAAAAATTGTCAGGGATTCAGCATTCCGGATGGGGATGGGAAGATCATTCCACCAGCCGGGAATGGTGAACGAAAATGTTCTGGAAAGTGATTTTGTGCCTCTCTGTGTTGGTACCACTTGTAGATCTCAGGCTTCTGGAGGCGATGTAGATTCGTAAGAGTGAGTGGAAGTAGGAGGGTGCTGAGCCCGTGGCTTTTTTTATATGCAAACATCATTGTTTTGAACTTGATGCGAGCCGCAACCAGTAACCGCAAAAGTCCAGCCAGAAGAGCATTGCAGTAGTCTAGCCTAGAAATGACAAGGGCCTGGACAAGAAGTTGTGTAGCATGCTCCGTTAGAAAGGGCCTGACCTTTCTAATGTTGTGCAATGCAAACCTGCATGAACGAGCGGTTTTTGCAATGTCTTTGAAAGTCAGCTAGCCATCAAAAATTACACCAAGATTTCTGACCGAAATTAATGATTTACCATTAAAAAAAATGGTAATTGTTGATGAACTTAGCTGGAAGGTGAAATCATGATGTAGAGTCGGAGTGGCAGGGAAGACAAGAAGCTCAGTCTTTGCCCGAGCTGTAGGTGATGTTCCTTCATCCATGCCGAGATGTCCACCAGGCACCCTGAGATTCGTGCAGCTACCGTTGGATCATCTGGTTGAAATGAAAGATAGAGCTGTGTCTTCAGCATAGCAATGGTAGGAGAAGCCATGTGCCTGTATTATGGGTCCCAGTGTTGTAGTGTATATGGAGAAGAGGAGGGGTCCGAGAACTGATCCCTGCGGAACCCCAGTGACCAGGTGATGTGCTTTGGATACCTCCCCTCCCCAGGCCACCCTGAAAGACCTACCAGTGAGATAGGATTCAAACCAGCGAAGTGGAATCCCTGTGATGCCCAGCGAAGAGAGGGTGGACAGAAGAATCTGATGATTCACAGTGTCAAAGGTGGCAGATAGATCCAGCATAATGAGAACTGATGATTTGGAATCAACTTTCGCAATCCGCAAGGCTTGAGGTTTTCTGTCAATAGTCTAGTGACATATAAAGTCACTTTCAAACCAAGAAGCAATGAATCTGCATGACCAACTTGAACCTGCTATGACGCTTGCTGTATTCCTCAATTGTAAGTAAATGTAAAATCTAAATGACAATAAGCTTGATTTTATATTACACATTATTTTCAAAGTTTTTAAAGCCACATGAAAGCTTTGAAAAGTTGCGATCATATTTTACCGAAAGTTCGGAGAATTTTAGCGGATGAAATACAGTAATTCTAATGAGTCCACATGAATGGCCATTTCTCATGAGGGCGAATGATTTCCCCTGCAGGTTTTGCATCGCGTTCAAGTTTGTCACATTAATTTAGAGTTGTTTGGTTTGAAAGTGACTTCATACATCACTGCAGGCTAAATTCAGTAATTTCAATAGGAATCCATGATCTGAATATTCGCAAATGATTTCCCCAAGCAGGTTTCGCAACAGGTTCAAGTTGGTCACTCGGATTCGCCTCTGCTTGGAAGCGACTTCATACATCACTGTGGGTGAAATCCAGTCTTTTCAGTAGGAATCCATGTGACTGGGTATTTTGCGTGTGGGCAAACGATTTCCCCATGTAGCTATTTCGCAATGAGCTCAAGTTGGTCATGCAGATTTGGTGCTTTGTTTGAAAACGCTTCATACGTTGGTACATGATAGAAAACAGACATTCACCCTTTTTGCTCATGAATTTTTGCAAATGTGACCTTATCTTAAGTAACAGAGCAATTAAGCTTTTATTTACTGAAATAGTTATGACAGAATTTTCCATGTTTTTCGTCAAAACTATCACTTTAACAACATTATGGCTAAATATATTCAAACTGTATTGTTGTCCTGGATGACCTCCGAAGGTGACCTGAACTTTTTTTTTAAAGAAACACTTAGTATCCATGACATGCTATAACACTCCCACAGTAATGTTAACATAAGAAGAAGCTGTTGAAATGAGATGTTTATGTTTAGTGGTAAAGAGATCAAACCCCCTATCTACTTTCTGTTACCTGTCTGCGCAGCGGGATGCTCTTGGCCAGCTTGTGGACAGCCAGCTGGCTGTTGAAGTCGCTTTTCTTGGCTGAGCTGTGCATTTTGGCCAGCACGGCGGTCACCACCATCACACAGATGAGGAAGAAGCCCACGCAGTAGATCAGCACCTCCAAATAGGTCTGGTTTGGCAGTTGAGTTGGGGGAACGGCTGGATTATGAAAGAAGGGAGCAATGCAAGGTGGCAGAAGGGAAGGGAGTGAGCTTGCTGAATGCTGAATGGATGATGATGATCTGTTTATTTACCCTTGTGTGCTAAAAATGAGAAATGCAGTCTATACAGGTGCAAACAGAGCAAATGATTCTGTACCAGCAGAACTTGAATCTTTGACAATCATTGCAACTGACCCTTCGCTAAGTCCAGCCTTAATTACTGAGAAACCCTACATCAGCCTGCCATATTATAGGACAAGCTTTTGCTCTTTCCAAGCTTTTAGAAACCATAAAATATGCTTATGCTAAAATATAAAAAAGATTTATAAAACATTGATGCTGTGTCTTGATGCTGTGGATTAAACTATTCGAAAACCCTCATTGCCAAATAAACATGTATACATCAGTAACAACACCTACATTTGCTCCAAAGTAAATGAATCTTAGTAACTAAATTCATGTAATAATTATGCAAGTCCATTTCCAATAATTGTGTAATTATAAAAGTAACTTTTTTGTGACTTTTTATCTCACAATTCACAAATTATTTCTTACAATTCTGAGTTTAAATCTTGCAATTTTGACTTTCAAGAAGCAAGTTTTTTTTGTGACTTTTTTGCACAATTTCATATTTTATGGGACAATTCTCACTATTCTGGCAAATTAGGAGTTTATTGAGACAAATTTGTAGTTAATAGTTAGTTAATAGCGAGCATTGAACTTTAAAATAAAATAAAGTATTTTTTTTTTTTGTATTATTTAATATGTAGTTATTGCATGTTTGTTAAAAATAGCAAACATAGGTGGGATGGAGCTTAACAAAAGGTCAGTTGGAGAGGATACTTTGAACTGTAACCTTAATGACCAGCCTGTCTAAGAGGTATGAAGATATACTAGTATCTGTTGATTCAGAAGATTGAAGTATATCATATTAGGAGCAGGAGGGCTCTTTTTTTCTAGGCGTTTTTTTTTTTTTTTATAAACAAACCTGAATGTACATATGCAATTCTTTGTAAAAGCACAAACACACTGATGCACACACATACATGCACAAAGCAAAACAAAACTCCTCTCAAAACAAATCTGGAGATGCTGTTGTTCATGTGAGTGGTGCATTGCAATGAACACAAACTCCTATTGTAGCATGATAATTACTTCTTTCATGGATCGGGTTTCATGGCACATTCTTCTACTTATGTGACTAGCAGGAGAAGGAAACCACTGCCCATGATACTTGGCAGCTCTCGCTTCGAGATTAGGCCAAAAAATAGCCTTATGTAAACTCATATGAGACATTAAATTTGCAACACAAATACAAATGCAAATTGAGAGGAATGGCTTATCTGGGTGGATGGACAAAATCTGAGCGGGTATGCATTTCAGTATAAATGGAGAGCTAGGTTATGGGGGTAAAATTACATGAGAAGTCTGGCTGATACAGATATTTCCTATGCTATTTGGTTGGTGTTTGTCTGCCCCAAGGCTCTGGTTCATAATACTGGGTTTCTTTCACACAATTCATGCACACAAAAGATGTTTTTGTGTCATGTATACATTTCACTCAGCACACAACAATACACATGCAAATGCATCTCATTGACAGATCACTTCTCTTTGCCTTCTCTTTTAAAAAATAAAATGAACAATCAAATATGAACATTGTAAAGTAAACATGAAGCTCAAATTCTAAAACTATTGTATTTACAAAATGGGTTTTGTAATAAGACTTAAGCCCTCAATTTGCTGACTGCAACATGCAAATGCAAAAAAAAAATCAACATTCAACAATGAGAATGAAATTTCATTCTATGTTGAATGTATTTAAGACAGCCCGACAAGCATCTTGATAAACTTAATCTATTTAAATGTATTTAAACAGATTTACCCTCTGAGTGAGGCATTTATCAAACCTGAGCCAAAGAGGAAATGATGTCAGCATAGTGCTTATGCTTAAAATCATGCTCTTTGGGATGCTTGTCCAGTGTTCAGGCAAACAGAAATGTTAACGGGAAAAAGGTTAATCTTTAAAAACTAGGAAAAGGGTTTTATAATATAAAAGTTTCTAATGGAAACAAAGCTTTGCCAAACCACTAGCCACAATATGTCATCTGTTCTCAGTTGTTATTTGTTATGCTTTACATAACATATTTTGAAGTGAAATTACAGTTTCTGATGTACATTGTGAGAATAATTAGAGATGTTCCAACGTCACTAATTATGTCAGCAGTGCAAAACAAATTTTGTTAATGTGGCACTGGTCAATATTTATACTCTTAGTTTTCTTGGTACTAGCTACAACTATGTACTAAACATAACCTAAACCCAAATGAAGTCCAAGTAGTTAACTTGTATTACTTAGTACTTTCTTGTGAAAGTACACTGTAAATAGATAGTAAGTACATGGACTGTAAAATGCAATTCTTTACCAATTCCAGTCAGCCACGATTATTTGATTCCGCAAGTGAATACATAACATGGGGTTACCAATATAAAGCAAATAGTATTCGGGTGCTCACGTGATCTCAACGTTATGTTAGTGTAAACGATTTTTCAAAAGTACTGTTCCTGTCTTTGAGTAAATATTTACTTTGTGCACCTCTAAAAAGTTCAGTTTTACTCTGAGATTGTGGGAGGTTTGGCTCCACTCTGATTCCATTTTTCTAAAGAAAGACCAGAAACATGTCATTTTGACATGCTTCAACTGACATTTCGAGTGTCAGTCAACACCCAGATGAATAACAAAACCACAAAGGGGTTGAAGAATGGTGCGGTTCACAAAGAATACGTTTGCATTGTTATTTGCTACAAAACCACTGTATTGCTTGTAATGAAAGTGAACACAAGAGGAAGTGTTTACTGGCAGTGACAATGGGACTCTGAGGCCAATTTAATAGCTTAAAAAAAATGTATGACATTCACATGCTAGGATTCGCTAACATACTCCATATAATGTTTTATTTCTTTTATTGCAAATTCTAAAATGTGTTTTTTGTCAAACTGATTTCAATTTAAACAACTGGACATGAGTCATATTTATGATAAGTGAATGTCCACTATGTGCTAAAAAGTCAATTTCAACAGAACATTTAAAAGGTTAAAAACAATATTTTGTGTTTTCCATTAAGCCCAACCTTTGAACGAATTATTGTTCTGGAATGGATTTTATGGAAAACAACGCAGTGATGTGACCAAATTCAACCCACAGTGTGAACTGCCGCTGTTAAACAGAGAGAAGAAACCAGCAACCAAAAGGAGCACCACAAGATACCTTTATAGACAGTCAACCATGCAGAGTGATGGGAGTGGCCGATAGAGTTTCCAGCCAAGCAGGTGTACTCTCCAGCGTCCTCTAAAGACACATTCCTGATCTGCAGTACCTCCATCTCCTTATCCGTGGTGTTGATGCCTGCCGTCTATAGAGAAAAGAACCACAGAATGAAGCCGGAGAGCTCCGGGAAAACCCACCAGAGGACAGAGAGAGAGGTTTTGGATAAAGAGTGGTGAAGATTTGACAACACAAGAGAAAGGCGTTGGAGAAACACCCTTCAGCACCCTTAAGGAAATCAGGACTGCTCCCTGATTGGACCCTTCCATGACCCTGCTGACAGATTTGTGGTTAGCTGGAGAACGGAGTGCACGGCTCCACCTGCTAGAGACCCAACACCTGAAGATGAGGGCGGCGTCCACCCCCTCGCCACCCTAGAGTCCATCTCGACATGCACAAGACGGGCCACATGGAACATTACCCAGCAGAGACTGAACTGTATTGCTTTCACATATGCACGCATTCAGAAAAGAAGTGATGATAATCAGACAGGGAGGAGAAACTAAGGGATTAGAAAGGCTCGTTAAAGAATGTCTGACATAGAAAGAGAAATATGTGTGAGTCAGGATGCAAAAGGTACTGGAACTTCACTCACTGGAGCGATACTATAGCACCTATTGAATTTGCTATCCAAGTGCTGTCAATACATCAAGAAAATATTGGTGTGTGCTATTTTGAAAATTGTGGCCATCTTCAGAAGTGAGTACTGTTGGCCAGATACGATTACACAAAAGCTGGGAAAAATAAACATACATTTTTGCGATTGATGTGGACAGTTTAAAAGGGTTTTCCTTACTTCCTGTAAGCTCATGTTAATTGTGGGCAACTTGCTCTACTGGTTTTAACCAGTCCACGAAGCACAGCTTTCCAGTTATGGTCTTATGCCCCCTGCATCACTCTCCTTGGAAATTAATTGCACCTAACAAGATTTAATCACGATTAAATCACAGAAAACTAGAAGATATTTTGAAGAATGTTGGTAACCAAACAGTAGTTGGCCCCCACTGACTTCCATAGTATGGGGGGGGGGATATCTTCTTTAGTGTTCACCAGAAGAAAGAAACTCGTACAGGTTTAGAACGACATCAGGGTGAGTAAATGATGACAGAATTTTCCTTTTTAGGTGAAAGGTGGGTGTTCACGGTGCGTGTCTGTATGTGTTTGCACATGGTGTGTGAGTGCACTTGGATGGGTTAAATGCAGAGAAAAAAAAACAGAGTATGGGACACCACTTGGCTACACGTCACTTTCATTAAAGAATTATGGAAACAAAGCAATAGCAAAGAGGAGCCAGGTAGAGAATAAGCCCTCAAGCGAGCTGAAGGAATTTAGACAGGCACATTTCCAAGGTGCCACTGAAATGCTTTTGAAGTGCAAGAGAGTGCAAGTAATCTTCAGAGGGCATGAAACACACCCTTATTAGGAGGGCAAAGTGTAGCACAGAGATGGAGAAAAGGAAACGTCCAGTGTAAACAAAAGCCAAAATACTTCCAGTTGCTCTGCTGGGATTTTCCATGGCATCATTTACGGCACCACAGAAAGCAAAAAGGAGCGACGAAGTAGGAAGATGAGTCGAGGTCACCTAAAAGCCTGATAACCGCTGTCTCTACCTCCGTCTAACTGTGTATGTCTGTCTCTTTCTGTACTGATGAATCTCTGTAGCAGGAGTCGTGTGTTACCTTGCGAGTTTTTAACGACGGTGAGCCATGCTGATTGGTTGGCTTGGCCTATATAATTGGCCACTTTACATATATACTCCCCACTTTCTTCTTCTGTCACGTTGTACAGCGTCAAGACCTGTGTGTCCGAGCTGTTGACCCCAGAGTGCTGCGGAGGCCAAACATATGTCAGAGGTCAAGCACAAAGTCAAACATTGAGGTCACTGAGATCCCAGCAGTCACTGAATGACAAAACCAGCCATTACTGCTCTTATTAAATACATTATGACAGTCTGCCAAGAACATGGCTCATATTTTCCCCAAAAGCTGTTAGTCTTGCTTCATTTGCTCAGGTGATCTGTCCATAGAGGTGAAGTAATATGGTGAAAGTTACTTTAAAAAAGACGTGGACAAACAATTTTGGACACACACTTTTAACAGCAACAGAAAAAGTGAAGATCTTTGGACAACACAGATTTCTGATATTTGTATTTAAAATAATGTTCAAGGTTACAACATGAGCAATATCAGCAGTATCTGTGACAACATCAATTACCACAAAAAAAAGAAAATAAAAAAGTTTATATACACTTACTGTAGAAGTTTATGGGAAAATGTTAGTTTTTGAAAAAATTAAATTAAAAAAAAAAATTACATTAAAAATATATATATATATTGGAAAATTGGGTTATGTTTGCTCAGACTTCCACTAGCAGTGTGTCATCACATTTATTTGTATGGCAGTGTTAAAACAAAACCTATAAAAAAAAACTATTTCCAAAAATAAAAAAAATAAAAAAAATCTTAAAAGAAATTTAGAAATGCTAAATTGGCAATGAACTAAGCTTTTAATACTAAAACTAAAATTAAACTAAACTTAACTAAAAATAAAAATAAATTAAAACTAAATAGATATATAAAAAACAGCAATATTTCTGAAACTAAAATTAAATGAAAAACTGAAAATATAAAAATAAAATTTAATTCAAAATAGTAATAACTACTATTATAGTATATAAATAATACTGCAATAACACTGATGTAGGGTGAGTTGAAATTAGTTTAATCATTGCAGATGATGAAATATTGTAAACTCTTAACCATAATAACTATGTTATTATTAACTCATTCCCCACTAGCATTTTTGAAAATTTTCACAAAACATTCATGGGCCTCAGAATATTTTGTTGTATGAATATTGAACATGCAGTATATTAAAAGAAAGAAAAGAGCCTCTGCTTTAAAAAAAGGGGTAAGTTTCATTTAAAAAAAAAAAAAAAAGCAACATTTTGAACAAAAAGCTGAGAAAATTGTGCCTTTGTCAAAAGACTACATCCAGATTCAGACCGATAATCAAAAAATAGATGGAGTAGATCAAGTCCATCAACACTCTAAAGCTTACACAGTCCACTTCCAGGGTCAACATTTCATTTGGTAACATTAGGCAGATTTGATGTATAGGCTTTTGATTGTTTGATGATTGCATTATTGTATATATGTATCTGCTTACATATGTGATCGCATATTTCTGCTTCTTCTTCGATTGAGTTTTGAACCAGAGATTTTGTACTCTTTAAAAAGATGTGTAATAGCACCTCCTACTGTATAAAGCTGAAAAATTCCGTCAATGCAGGGAAGCCTCATCTCAAATGATGGAAAATTCCATTAACAGTGGGGAGAGGATTAATTGACATAGACAACACTGAAGCACTTCAATCAAATATTTAGGTTGACTGGTTAAATGGTTTTTACCTTTAAGATCCGAACATATGGCAGTCCATCAGGGCCAAATCTACTTCCGTTGACCACGATGTGCTTCAGCCACTGGATGTGTGGCTGAGGATCGCTGAAGACTTTACATTCAAACTCCACGTCACTCCCCACCACTACTGTACGGTTAGCAGGCAACCCCGCCTGAAGAATCGGCCTGTGCGGTGAACGCTCTGAATAAAACACACAAAAACACTGTACGCAGTTAGTATTGTGGAAATGACCCCAATTAACATAAAAAGTTATTTTTAATCCTTTTCCCCTCTTAAGAAATGAAAATTGGAATCTGCATTACAGCAAATGGGATATTCAACAGATGTTCAATAAACATTAATGTCACATAGCCTGCAGGAAGCAGCCTCTTTAACATGCAGGCTAAACGTTTATTATAATTGCTGTAATTTGGTGGAAATTAGTGGAAATGTTATTTTAAGCCACAGCCCATCTCTCAGGGCTTCTGAATAAAAGTCTGTGAATCTACAGACAATCTGGCACTGGCTCTCACTTTGGGCAATGGTGGAGTCCAGAGGTGTTCAACATTTTACAACACTGTAAAGAAAACAATATATAGTTGTTTTAACAACGTATTTGTGCTGCCTTCAAATGTTATGTTTAATCAACTCAAATATCCAAGTTGCCACTTAGTACAACTTAACATTTCAAGTTGACTAAACTTAAAACTTTAAGGCAGCATGAACACTACCAAATTTTTTTGTTCTTGACTATATTATATTCAAATTTACATTTTGCAATCAAATGAACTTATTTTCTCTACATTCAAATGAAAAACACAGAAAAAAAGTTAAAACAAAAGAAATTAGAAATGAAGATATGCTTCAATTGCATGTTTTTTCCCTACATTTCCCCCTCTTGCATGGCATGGCAGGCCAAATCAAAGGTCATCAGGGGCCAATTATGGCCCGCAGGTCCTGGTTTGGGCATCTTGTTGTAGTTGGTACAGTATGCAAATCTGACATTCGAAATCTAAAAACAACTACATTTCTCAATCTCCGTGGCTGCACAAGAATAATACATTCAGCATCAACTACACCCCTAACATGCACTCTTTGCTCTTCATTTTGTGGTACTAGGAGAAAAGAAAAATTAACTTGCCCAATGCATCCATTGCATTTTGATCAAAACCACATCACAATTTCAACCTCTTAACTCCTAAGTAGGACCTTCCCAAGAGGACTTGGCACAAATGGAACAAATGTGTGAGTGTCTTCTGCGTGCCAAATTCAAACAGTCTTCTCATGAATGTGTATGGATGGTGCAAATGATGTCACAACGGGCTCCATCTACATGGGTGTAGCACTGATTTATTTGCTACTTAGTGAAGGCATCAATCAAATCCACGTCAGCCAATCAGTGTTTAAATTACTTTATTCCAAATATTCTGATCTCATCTTAAACCACTAACCGCGTCTCTAACTCATCCATGGCATCAAGTAAACACTTTATATTTGCAATGGATCATTTAACACGCACCATCAACGGAGTCCACGTGCCTGTCCTTGACAAGCACACAGACACTCGCACGCAAAGTGTAAAGCCACCCGTTATTTCGGTTCATTTCAGAGAAGTAATGGTAACCATTAATGGTACTGCGCCAAAGCATTAGCCGCATGGTGAACAACACCCATTTGCATCTGATTGACTCGAGTAAACATTGCAGTAATTCTGCGACCCTCCCTTGGGAATCATTTGCCATCTCCTGTGCTTTGCTAAAAAAAACGTGAATCGATTTAATCAGAGGTTTAGCAATAAATCACTGCAGCTGAGCTAGTGGGGAAGGGGAGACCAACACAATTTGCTCACATCCAAAGAACGACAAAAAAAATCTTGAACTTGGGGGGGAAAATAACATTTAAATTAAACCAAATTTAAAAATGTTGAGGTAAGACGAAAAAAGAACCATGACTGACCGACTACGTCCAGCTGGTAGGTGTGATTGATGCTGCCGTATTTGTTTTCCACCAGACAGGTGTAGTTGCCTTTGTCTGACGGTACCACCGACTCCATTATGATGGTCCACATGCGCTCTCGAACCTGCGCGATAAAATCAAAAGTTGAAAAAAAGTGTAGACATAAATGCAATTAAAGTTATTGCATATTGTGGGAACTATTTAGAAAAAAAAATGCATGTTTGGGTGCACGTTAAGTAAAACTCTTCAATTATAGGCTTCTATAGACAAAATCTTGCAGCCCAATGTAAAAGCAGAAAACTTCAAGACGCATTAGAGTGCTGATTGTCTTTTAAGATCATTTCAGTGAAAGGCTGAGGAAGTTTAACGGAGTGAGTTGGCAGCAAATCCCCATCAGGTCAGTTTAACATCAGTCAGGCACGAGATCAGAGCCATGGAGAACAGTGTGTTTCCTGGTGGAGAGTGGGAAATGGGCCACTCCATGTCCACTAATACAGGTCTATTCTCAAGCCAAAAGCCCTATGAACTGCCAGAAAACATCAAACTTCAGTCTATTAAAAAAACATATGTTTGCTAAGCAACATGGACCTCTACAAACCAGCAGTTTTCAATAAATATATACTTTTATTAAAATATTTGCAGTATACTTATGTATTTTAAGTACATTATATTATTCATGGCAGATACAGTGGTGTGAAAAAGTGTTGGCCCCCTTCCTGATTTCTTATTTTTTTGTATGTTTGTCACACTTTAATGTTTCAGATCATCAAACAAATTTAAATATTAGTAAAAGGTAACACAAGTGAACACAACATGCAGTTTTTAAATGAAGGTTTTTATTATTAAGGGAAAACAAAATCCCAAATCAGGAAGGGGGCAAACACTTTTTCACACCACTGTATTCACAACATTTTTGTTATTTGTGAATATGCATTTATTATTCTTATTCGCCTGTTTGTCACGCAGTTAAATGTGGCTTCAGAAGCTCAGAAGTGTAATGTTATGGTACGTAATATTGCTTTTTTTATCCTTGACCACTATCTCATTATGTGTTTCACAGAAATATGAAATGTCATATGGGTTTGGAATGACATGAGGTTGAGTAAATGATGACAGGATTTTCATATTCGGGTGAACTAAACCTATAAAGATCAAGCAAACACAGCAAGTGTTCTCTGCCGTAACAGCTCTTCTTGATTGAATGAGATTTAGGCTGTGCAAAATTATTAAGAGGTTACGGCTTTTGGGCCTACAGAACCCCAGATGCGAGCTGCTACACTCACAGTCTGCCTGACTTCCTTTTCACAGTCACTTAATGTGAATGAACAAGTCTGTGCCAGACTCTTGTTAAACAAAAGAAACCACGAGAGACTGGGAATAGTGTCGGGGGAGGTTGCCATGAAAAGCTGCAGGGCCCCTTAACGGAAGCCCCTCACGGTCCTGGAGCTCAAAGGCACATTTGGATGAATGTATGTATGCATTACTATCGCTAGGATTTGGCTCGGTTAAAAAATATAAATTAAAAATAAAAATTAAAGAGAGCATTTTGCTTAGTTATATTCAAATGTTTGTATAAACCATGCTGATGCACGTTACTGTGTGCGCGTGCATGTGTATATGCATTGCAGTGGCCTCAAACACACTCCAGATGGTAAAGTGTGTATGCGGTAAGGAGAGGAAGAGGACTAATGTCTCCCAGCTGGAGAACACCTTGATGAGAAACACAGACAATACAGGTCTACAATGACACAAACAGAAAACTGCAGAAAATATCACTTTAATGTTCATGTAAAAGAGAGTAGAATGAAGAAAGAAAAATTTAATTAAAGAAATATTTCAACCCCAAAATTAAGATTTCGTCATTATTTACTCGTTTACTCATGTTGATTTTCTAACCCAGTATTCTGTTATTTTTAAGAGAAATTATGAATTTTCACAAAAATCTTTACACAGTTTATTTTATAGGCAAATAAATAAAATCACCTATAAATAAATAAAAGCCACCTATCTCTCAAATGGACCATTGACACTCTATCTACAATCTCAATTAGGAGTGTCAATGGTCCACTTGAGAGATAGGTGGCGGTAATGCACTTATAAGTCTGCGATCCGCCTTAAAGCAAGAAGAAGACGCCTCAGGCGCCTGCTGTTGAGAACGGACTCAGGAGGACGCACCGCCGCTCAGGACAGTTCGGACATTGCGTGAATCAGAGGTAAAAAAAGATATAAATACTGTTCAGTTTCTTGCACAGACCGATCGTTTGTGTCTTTACACATCAATGTATCGTCACGAGTTGCAGGGTTTAATTTGGTTTTGTTTGTGTATGTTTTTTTTACTCTCAAAGCCGTGATTCCCATTCACCTCTATTATAAAACTGACAGACTGCAACGGTTTGTGTTAAAAATCTTCGTTTGTGTTCTACTGAAGAAACAAAGTCACCTACATCTTGGATGCCCTGGGGGTAAGCAGATAAACATCAAATTTTCATTTTTGGGTGAACTATCCCTTTAAAGATCCTGAGCATTTAAAGTGACAGAAACGTTGAAAAAGGCATTTAAACGACAAAACTGCAGCGCAAGCTTATAATAATCAGTTACTGTGCACTGGGTGTGGACGCTAAAATAGTTATCATTATTATCTTTATAGTTAGCGTTCTTGGTGTTGAACAGGCCTTAAGGCTATCAAACGGAAGCTCAACTGTGATTGCTTGATGCACGAGAGCCAATGAGGTTGACCATATTTGATGTGCTCTAGGTTTGTGCATTGATCAATATTTACATTACTGTGCAGAAGTCTTAGGCCATTAGAATTTTCACCAACAAAAAATGGTTTTAAGCCAGTTATTGCTATCTTTTGCTGTAGTGTGTCAGTTTACATTTCCAAACATTCCTTTTGCCATTAATTGTAATAACCCAGTGAGATTTTTGTATGCACAAAGAGTCTGACAATAGCCAGTGCTCCACACAGAGACAGACTGAACTGAGACTAAATCCAGAAGACTGTGGCAACGACTCCAAGACACTTGAAGAAACCTTCCTGCAAAGCTACCTGAAACTCTATGCACAGGTGTACCAAGCTGTTTTAAACGCAAAGGGTGGTCACACCAAATATTGATTTGATTTAGTTAATAGCAGTTAATTGATAACTAAAATCTATTTATGACATTATTTTTCAAAGGCATCCTCACTTTACAGCATTTTACACAAGTGCCCAAAACCTTTCACAGTACTGTAGGTTTCTTCATGCATCTTGGAGACGTCGCCACAGTTCTTCTGGATTTAGTTTATTTTCATTCAATTTTGGTGAAATATCTATTTAAGTCCTTTGAACAACTTTTTGTTTTTGGTCCTTTTTAGAGCTTGGCAAAGGTAAAAATTGTTTTCATATGGACAACAGATGCATGAAGAAAATTATCTTTTTATGTTCCACAACAATATAGTACCTGGAAAAATCAATTCCAAAATTAATTAATTTTAAATTAAAACATTATTGTGCATAACTAGAACAACTCTGGGCTGAACTACACATTTCACAAGTGTGAAACAAGTGAACTGAGGCTGAAACTCAAACAAAGCACCACTACTAATGACACTTTGCTACGGAATCAATTTAAATGGTTTGTTACATTGGGTCTGTTGGCATTCCCGATCAACATGGTCAAATTAGTAAAAGGACAGAGTTTATTCTTATCTGTCGGAGCACAACCAGTTGTGTAAAATGAGGACAGCCAAGCAAGAGTAGGCCGCCTCCACCAGAAACCCACGGCTCCAGTGTCTGCCTTCCAGGCATGGCTATTCAGCCTCTGTCATGCTACAGTGAGGTGTCTGGAAGACATATCTGTTGAGGACGGAGTGCCCTTTTAACCCCCAAACCAGAGTTGCTGAACTGGAGTTAGGTAACCAAGATGTTGTATGTTTCATGATTTTAATGGATTGTAGTGTAGTGCCCTCACCTTATAGCCTCCTATTCGCTGGTCTTTCTTAAACTCTTTGCCGTTCTTGAGCCATTTGAGTGTTGGTGTAGGGTTACCATTGGCCCGGCAACGGAATTTGACGGTTTTGCTGGCGGGAACAGCGTGGAGCTTCTTCTCCATCTGATCAGGCTGAGCCCAGACAGGTGCCATTGCTGAACAACAGACAGAAAGCACATAAAATAATATTGAGAAAGTTAGATTGGTCATTCAAAACCAATGTGAACAATACCAAGGCCATGACTATTTTAAAACAGTAATCTAAAGTGGCAGATCAAAGTGTGCGAGATTTGGGTGTTGGCTGCTGGTTTCGCTCCTTTTGACTTGCTTGATAATGCCCTTGGGACTCAAAGAATAATCCATCAAAAGAAATAAAGACTTTGAGTCTAATGAACAAAGGCACATTCCACAAGACGGCTGTGGTTTATAAGACAAAAATGTGCACTATTTCCTGTTATAATTCCTGCTTTAAAGTAAAATCCTAACAATTTCTTGAGGAACTGATACTGTTATTGACATTTGTAGCTCTTTGAGTCAGAGTTTGGAGCACTTAGAGTTTGACTAAGAGAGGAGTGCGACTCACGAAGCAGTTTCTGGTCACTTGATAGCTTGGCCTCCTCTGAGGAAGACTCATCTTCTTCATCGTCTTCTGAGGAAGCCAATCCATCTGATCGAGAACAAACATGTAGGTTAAATGTTTTGTTGTTGTGAACAATATGAAAATCAACCCAAATCATAATTTCTCACCTGTAACGTTGACATTGAAGAAATCTGTATGGTTGCTGTTGGGTCCCTGAGCAAAGCAAGCATACAGACCAGAGTCGGCCGGCTCTACTCTTTCAATCTCCATCTGATGGTTGCGCAGGCGGGTGTGCTCTCCGTCAACCAGGGGAACGTGGTCCTTAGTCCAGGTCACTTCCTGTATCTCCTCGATACCTTTACAGCTCAGCTCCAGTTTGTCCCCCGGATACAAAGTGTACGGCGTCAGCTCGACCAGGGCTAACACTAAGAACGGGATGCAAATTTGTTAGGCTTAATAAAATAATTAGGGACATTTAATAGAGATCTGGGGCATAATTTGTGCACTAATTAAAAAAAAAAAGTTTAAATAATTGCACTAAATTAACTGTCCTAGTTAAATAAATCAATTTTCTTTTTATAAACTGAATGCTTCTATATACTATCTAATACAGCAATTCCATTTAGTCTCCATGCACACTTGCTATACAGTAGACATTTTAATTTTATTTAAATTATAGCATTCATTTGATCTGTTACTGAATCCAGGGGCAAGATTCGTGACACATTCTTAAGAATGAAATTCTTCGTAACTGCTATTTGCTTATTATTTTCTAACTTAAAGTTAAGAATATTTCATATTCTCAGAAACGTTTCTTAAGAATGTTCTTTTCTTTTTTTCTTAAGATTGTTCTAAAGACAAGACCTAAAAAAAAAAAAAAATGTAATTTCTGAAAAAAAATTCCTACAAATCATCATAAACAACCCCAAAGTTCCTATGCTAAAGTTAAGATAACCTCCAAATTTTCTTAAATCTCCAAATGCAAGATGTTTAAAATTCACTAGGCTGCTAAATATTAAGCATTACACTAGTCAAACAATATGTATCACTATAACTAGGGATGTGCATAAGTACTCTGAAGTGACACTAATCATTGATAATGTAAACAATGACTGATCATGATTAAAGATTGACCGATGTATCGGCCAATAATGCTTCACTATCGGCCATCGGCAGATTGTTCAAAATCAGCAGATGATCAGGGCTGATTATATCCTGTCAATCAAAAGGCGGTGGAAAAATGTGTCAGACTGCAACTCATACTGTGTGTGAAGAAAATTACTCTGTTGAATTTAGGGCTGTCTAAATTAATGTGACAAAACGCATTAACAGTTAAAAATAGCGACATTAAAGCAGGCTTTATTTGACCCTATGAATCACCCCTAGTTCAAGCCAGGGTTGCCAGATCTGCGGTTTTTCTCTACACCAAACATTATTTGTAGCACGCCATCCAATAATCGCAAAGAGGTTTGTGCTTTGTAACTTCTGATAAGAAACAAAGTCTCAGCTTTCAATCCTGTACATTCTATCATGAAATTCAAACAATCAATGCCATTTTGTTAGAACTGAGCACCTCAGTTCAAGCAGCAGTCTCTTCCACTTTAAGTTATATGCGCAAAATAAACATGAATAAACATCAGAAGGTATGTTCAAAGATACAGTATAGCTTACTAAAATGTATCATGTCTAATGTAATCGCTCAATCAGTTTCAAATGCAGAAAGATGCCTATAAAACAGATTGTGAACAGTATGTCACTTAAAGGGTTAGTTCACCCAAAACTGAAAATTAGCGTGTGTTTTACTTACCCTCGAAGCATCCTAGGTGTATATGAGTTTCTTCTTTCAGACGAATCCATTCTGAGTTATATTAAAAATTGTCCTGGCTATTCCAAGCTCTATCATTGCAGTCAGCGGGTGTTGCAGTTGAACAGTCCACAAGTCGTCAAATAAAGCTCGCGCATTCATAATAAAACGTGCCGCAGACGGCTCCGGGGGATGAATAAAGGCCCCCTGTAGCAAATCCATGAGTTTTTGTAAGAAAAATATCCATATTTCAAACGTAATAAACACTTTTCTCTCACTTCCGTTATCGGTCATACGCGGATCCGTTCCGGCGGAAGGCGTATGACATATGCGCAGCGCGCACGCCTCTGAGATATGCTAGTCTCACGAGTTTGTTTAATAGGAGCAATGGAAGCAAAGTTTCCTTACTTTAGCAAAGGAAAACCAGTCTCCTCTTGGTTTATATCGAAATCC